AGCGAGGGGGCTTTTCCCAGTTCTGCAGGGTTTCAGGCCAAAAGCTCCTCTGCTCTCACTCGCGCCTCTCAAGGGAAAGGGGAGATGGGGGGGCCTAGCGAAGGCCTGCATCTTTCCCCCAGCTCACACTGTACAAAGCCATAAGCCTCTTTGCTCCTTTCTTCCACTAAAGGCAGGTATGAAGAAGGGACTTTTTCTCTGAAATATAATACTTTTTTTTTTTCCCCCAAAACTGCTGGAAATGCTTAAATCCCTTAAAATACCTGTTCAAATGGTTGACCTTATTTTTATGCGGATTGCAAAGCATGTGGAAAATTATTTTGCCCTTAAATTTAACATGGCAGAGATGGCTTCCTTCTCCCCTACAGTCCTCGCCCATCCCCCCGCAACTGTTAATATAGATAGCACCACACTTCGGGGGAAGGGGAAAGAAACAGGGCAAGAAAAGCTCAATTTTCCTATAATATCTATCGACCTCCCACCCTCTTAAAATCATGCTTGCAAGTAACCTTTATTCGATTTTGATCATTTTTTAGTGGTTCGCTTCTTTCCATTGTAATTTACACATGCATGCAAGTGCTCAGACTTTCCATATGCCACTCGGCCTCCTCCCCTTTTAAAAATGCCAGATACGTGGCTGCATCAGCAGTATTGCCTCTGGCCTTAGGTGCAGACTTCAGGCTGCTCTGGCCTGGCTAGACCCCTGCACGGGCCTGCTGTCACTCATGGACCCTCTGCCACTGGCGTCCCTTGCAGGAACCACCAGAGTCCCCAGTACATCGCTGCATTTAGGGTAGGAAGTGGAGGCATTGGTGTGTCTAAAAGTAATCGATACTGGTGGAAAAGTGACAAAGTAAATAATCCAGTCAGTTTTCTCACCCCAATTGTGTGTATTATAAATCTCTAATTTTGAGATCTCACTTAAATTTCATGTGTGACTGTTCAAACCCTTACTTCTACTAGTTGTCTGTGTTTCAGACACTAGGGGCTGAGTTACATAAAAGCTTAAAATTCATAATGCAGAAGGAAGGTATGATCAGGTCTCTATAAGAAGTAGTATTTGTAATGCAGTTTATGCTGTGTTGTAATGCCTTCCTTTTTGTTCCTTGCAGAGTACAAACAAAATAATGAAATCGAATGTTAACCACTCTTTCAAAATGAAGCATGATTTCGATTGTACATCTCCTCATGCTGGGTTTGCACCACTGAAGGCTGCTACGGAGAAAACAAGACTGGAAGAATCCTGCCCCTTGAAATATGAGGACGGCTTTTGTAAAAGCTGTGCTGAAAAGCAGCAGAATATACTCCTTAGTGACTCATACCATGCGGCCACCAGAGATTTAGATCTTGAAGATGAAGGAAGACCTGTACATAACAAAGAAAACAAACAAGTAACGCAAAGATTTGATGAAAGTATCTATGAAATGGAGGCACTGGAAAACAATAAATTTAATGAGGACAGTGGTTATTCCTCTATGCTTAGTCATCAATATGCTGAGCCAATAGACCATGAGGATAGTATTCCTCTGGCTGGGAACCTCTGTGACACGCCAAAGCACTGTCTCATGAAGGACCAAAACCACGCACAATTTTCAAAAAAGACTTTGTTGCCAGTAACCCATTATGAAGAAATGATTTGCTCGACTTTGAAAAAAAGTGGTAAAAGAAACCTCAAGTCTTGGGCTGTAGTAGACAGAATTGTTTTTAGGGGAAAGTTTGAACTTGGTAATCTCATTGGAAGGAAAATGGGATTAGATAGAATAGACATTCTTGCCGAACTCTTCCAAAAGAACCTGAAGCATGTACTGGCAAATATCTTACGGCATCTTGGTGAGATAGATTTAATAAAGTAAGTATATCGATCTCGTTGTATTTCATTGGGAAAGTAAACAACGTAATAGATGGTTTAAAAATGTTTTAGATATGGCTTTTGTGACTATACTCAATGTTTTATGGTCTATTATGTATTAAAAATTGAACTGTCAGTATAAGCCATTATATATATGAAGAATGTCTTTCCCTAGAAGGCAAATTAAAGACTACAGCTGTGACATAACCCATCTTCTACATTAAAGAAAAAAATTACATAATTCCTGCTATTAAATAAAAAGTGTTTTCTTTTCCTAGGAGGTAACTGATATGTTTGTTTTGTCATTGCAGTTTTGCCAGAGTCAGCACAAAGTGGCAGAAGATTCTACAAGAAGATAAATGGATTTTCCAAATGTACAGTAAAGCTGTGAGAAACCTTTCTGTAAGTTTCGGCACTTTGAAGCCTAAACCAGCAATGTCTGTCTGCTATTTCAGGACTCCACCAGCCTTAAGAGATCACAAAAGAGTTTCTTAGGTTGAAAACATTGTCACTGGAGTGTGTGAGTTTGTCCTGTGAGGATGCCCTGTCTCAAGTGTTTCTAGTCACTTCACTGTCTTTGGAGCCCAAGGAAGGTTGACTGAGAGGGTTACCCAGAAAGAGATGCATATGTTCCTAAGAGCTTCCACATATCCTATGATACAGAGGACAGGCAGGCAAGGGTGAGTTCCAGCACTGTCTGCTGGGCAAGCCCTAGAGCCTCTCAGGTGAGGCTTGCTTAATTCAGCACCCCCTCAGATCCAGAAGGGAGAGAGCCTGAGGGAAAGCACTCAGCTGACTGTGCCACTCAGGTTCTCTACTTACACTTCCTAGCAACAGTCTCTGAAGTGCCACATGCTGGCTGCAGAAAACTGAAAAAATTTTGTAGTGTGAGCTATTCCTAATGTCTGCTTGTCCTATTAAATTAAAAAATGAGTTCCAACCACACTGGCATTGTAGAACTCTTGAAACACAAGGAGCATTTTTATTCCTTCAGAGATGGAGAAACAATGAAACGAGGCTTAGAGTCTGCCACAGACTAAGGTAGCCCACTACTTTGAATTTTAGGTGGTATTTTATGATGCTAGCCTATTGGGATGAAAATCAGACACCACTGAACATTAAAGTTTTGTTTACTTCCTGCAATTGTATGCCTTTTTTAAACCTGAACTGCAAGCTTAGAAAATTGGTGGAAGACATTTACTTCTCAGGAAGAAAACTTCAAGCACCCCTGTTCACCATGAAGAATTAGAAATATTGCTTTGTGCTTTAAAACATTGTGGTGACTAGGTTACATGCTCTGCCTAAATAATTATTATGTGTTAATATGAAAGTAGTATTGTGAAATGGAAGATAGTTGGTTTTGATGGTGTGAACTAGGGGTCTGTTCTACAAATTTATAACAGTGTCCAAGAAAGCTTAGGTAAAATTAGTAGCATACAACTTGGTATGACACTTTATTGTTGGAAACCTTCTAGCCAGGACAAAAGATCAAAAATAAGTTGCTGACTTCTATTAAGCAAAAAGTCAATGTCAGATGAGTCTCTTCTAATCTTTTATTCTTATTTTTCTTTTCATTAGAATAGCACTAAGGCACCAGAGCATGCTGCAACAAGGGAGTATGTTCTCTACCGAACAGCTTTAGCTTCCATTCAGAAAGCCACACCACCAAACAACTTGAATAAAAAAGGCACCAGATCCAAAGCATCTAAGAATCACAGCAGGCTTGTTGAGTTTTCTGAGGTAACTGGTGATTTCCATTCTTCTTTAATTTCTCACATGTTATCTGACACACAATCAACTTGTATAGCATATTTCTGAAAGTAGAGCCTCCAGTTTTAAGTGCTTGTAACTTATTAGTGTAACTGCTAGACTTTGCTTATTGAGTCTATTTTAAGACAATGTCAGAAACTAACTGGAGAATATTGATACACTGGGTTGTTCAATTTTTTTATTATTATTCCGTTGGGTGTCTAGGTACTGTCAAAATGACTTAGTGATTTTTTTTTTGCTTAGGTTTTGGCTTGAATCAGACATGTTAAAGTTTTATAATTTCCTGTTACTTTCCATGGGCAATGGATCGTGTGTTTTCCAGATAAGCAATCCCACAAAAACTGTCAATTTTGCTTAAACACCAATGGTAAATTTTTTAAACTATGTATTTGTAACATGTCACATATTTGGAGTTGTCAAGAACTGCCAATAACCTAAGTTTCCCTTTGCCATGTTATTTTTCTGAGCTTTTTTTTTTAACACATACAGCTGGAGGTCTACATGGCAAGTGCCTTTTAAAAATCTTTATTGAAAATCATTGTTAATAAGCCACAGATTTTCCTAACTAGAAAAGGTTTTTATATCCAAGCTCAAAAAACGTCAATCTGCATATTGGCACAATAAGAGAAGAAAATATAGTGACATTGGAAAATATGATCAAGTTGCTCTAATAATACTATATAGCATTTTTTACAGTGAAGTAATAGTCTAAAATTTTTCCCCTCGATAAACATATGTCTATACACACCTAGATTATCATAACATTTTGCTTTTAATAGTTGAGTGATATAAGGTGTTATACAGGTCTATAATTTTCTAATACTGGATGATTCTGATTGGTGGATCTAGTTTTGTCCAAAATTAATTCATTGGAGAGAAGTAGTAATTGCTCCCATTTGGTGTCTCAAGCCAAGTGCCCCACAGCTGAAATTTCTGCACGTGTTTCTCACTTTCCAAAAATGGTAATGATTTAAATGGAATTCAGATTTATTCTCATTTTTTAAAATTAAATTAATTGCCATCCTTGGATAAGTTTCAAGGATTCAGGAGAGCTGCTTTTCATACTGCTTTGCATTTAATCTGTCCTTTAAATTTAAAAATTTAAGTATTTTAAATTGGTTACCTCTATTCCAGTCCAAAGTACTTGCCTTCATAGGCTGATTATTACTGTTCAATGTCTATCGGAATTTCATACAGCTACAATTAGGCAAGTTTGTAATTTAGCTTTCTAGAGTAAAAGGAGTTATAGTATGTGTTGTGGCACTTAAATAATATCAAGGAATGTTTGGGGTGCATATTTACCCTCCATTCATGATCTTCTCTATGCTTTTACTTACAGGCTGCCAAGAACTTGAAAAACACTGAAAGCCTTAAAGTCTGCCATCGCTGTGGCTCACCTGCAAAGTATGACTCCTATCTGCAAAGAGCTTTGTGCAATCGTGAAAGCTGTGGCTTTGACTTTTGTACAAAGTGCATGTGCAGCTACCACAGCTCCAGTGACTGTATGAGTGGCAGACCAGTGAAACACAACTCTAAGCTGGGGCCGCTCCCTGGGACTAAGAAAAGCAAACAGAATCTACGGCGGCTGTGATGCATCCATCCCAACACAGATTGTCAGATGTCCCACAGACATTTTTTTAGGTTATGAAGTTATCCACAAAGAAAATCAAACAAGAATATGCTCTCTGCTAGTCTATATTAAAAGAAAGGTTAATTTTATTATTCCTCTGTACTATTTGGCTATGTTGAAATTCCTAAGAATCATCACAAATACCCTTTTAAAAACTGTTCTGACAGTTTGTCTATCATGTTCCAGTCTTGAAAACATCCCACTCTAATGCTGAACAAAGACATTTTGGCGTGTACCTTTCCATGTAGCCCTAGCAATTCTTGAATGACAGAAGAAGGAAGCATAAACTTTTATTTAAATGTTTACTCTCATTCAAAGTCTTTTAAAAGCATTTACAGTGACGATGTCAAGTGAGGTGCGTGAAATCTCTTTTAACAAAATTATGAGGGAGTCTAGATTTTACAATTTTTTTCAAGGCTTTGCCTTAATTTTAAAATGTGAATGTTCCTAATACCATTTTCTCTGATAGTTTACATTATGTGAATCTTAAGTTGTTGCTTTTAATTTCTTCATTCAGAAACAGCAGGTTTTCCTTGAACAGAGGCAATATTCTTTTCAACTTAAAAAAAAGTACACATTGTATCTTGGCTATACTGCTAAAAATACTTTTTTGCTAGTTTTTTCCAAATCATAAGATACTTCTAAAATATTTGTATATATTTGTAAATAATGCTTTAAATATTATTCATGTTTGTCTTGTAAATGTGAAAATAAATTACTGTTCTCAACAACTTGGTTTTCATGGTCGTTTCTCATGTTTTCTAATATGTGCTTCTTAAAAATGTTGATTTAACAAGGAGGAAATCTGGTTTTGTGTAAAATATACTGAATCCATTCTTATGCTGTGTTCCTACAGCTTACCTGAGGACTCTTAGTAGTAACTGCCAATAGATTCTGAACCAAACATATTCAATGGAAAATTTTTTATTGGCTGAATTTATGCTGCTGTTGCAGAACTGGCTCACTAGTAGAGTCCTTGTGATTTCACAGCAAAAAAAAGGGCAAGCTTTCAAGAAAAGGATTGATAATCTTCTGCAAATGGCTGGAGTTTGGGTGGGGGTATTTTCTAGTTAATAAGTAGATAAGAGACTGGGAAGGCAGCGTTGTAGGTCAAGGAACAGCAGTTATATACTGCATGCTAGCTTTTCCTGCACTTGTTAATTTTCCATTTGTGAACCGCTGAGCAGGACCTCTAGTGGTATGCTTTTATGTGGAAAACTTAGACCTGAGACTTAAAATAAGAGGCTGACTGAGTTATGGAATTAAATTTCTTGTTATAAGTCTTTTGTCTATTTAAGTCCACTTACAGACATGCTCAAGATCTGAGAATGACAGGTAGAAGTCTTCCATGCTATTAAAACTCATGCTGGTAATTAGACCATACCACCTTTACCAACCAATCGTGTACTGCAGGCCAGAAGAATGGTGTTTATATAGTAAGTAGTAATAGCCCTGAACTACTGGACATTGGTGTCTCCAGTATTGTTTGGGAGATGTGGAAAAGTGTATGATATGCATGCAATGCCAGTGAGACAGTATGCTGTAGACTGAGCACAGATAGGCAAGAAATACTGTGAGCAAAAAGCTTGTTATAAAATTTTAATGTGTCTACTGAAATTCCTGTGTCCTGAAGACCATGGATATCTTAATATGATATGGACAGAACTGCCCTTTTGTACATTGATTTTGATAAGTGTGGCACAGACATCTGCACTCAGACTGGTGTTGCAGAATATGATACATCTTGAATTCAAGTTTGTGTATTGGAGCTGAATGTGGACATTACAAACTTGACATGTTTACCTTTTCAAGTTTTTAGCTTAGAGGAACTATCCACTCTCTAGTGTGCCTAACAGTTTGTACACAGTGAACAGCTGTGTTGGTTTTTGTTATTTTTTTTTCCTGTAGTAATTGATCTGCTCATGCATAATTTTGAGGAAAATTCCTTGTTACCTATAAATAAAGGGGAAGAATTGGTCTATATGGCTTCAGTGGTCACAACTGCTGCAAACCATTGTGGCCATTTCTTTCCTTTTGCCCAACCATTCTTGTCTTATCCTCAGATCCTTGCCTACCAGCTTTAGTGTTAATTATCAGAACTGACGTTCAAGATTGCAGCCTTCAAAAGGTGGATGAGACCTTGACCTGTTACCAGTGTCTGAAATTTTCTTATGCAAAACTTATAAAGAGAACCACAGGGATCTGTGGTGGCCATGCAGCTATTTCTTCCTTTATGGTAATCTTACCCAACTGTTGAAACCCTGCCCAACAATACTGAGCATTGGAACTGAATAAAAGCTATATGCAGCTTTCTGAAAGTGCATGATTGTTGATCTCCTCACAAATGGCTTGAGTGTATGGCAGGAAAAAAAACCAGAGTGGACAGTCAGTCCTCAGCCAGGCATGCTGACATCTACTGCTGAGCAAGAAAGCAGCTCCTCAGAGAGAGCATTAGCACTAAGTGATGACGCCACCAGTGCTGAGGGGACTGATTTACGTGGAAGGGTGGAAACAAAGTAGTAGGTTCAGATTGGTGTTAATGCCTGTGCTGGGGCTATCTTGAACCTGCCTTTGATATGTAATCAACGTGGGAGTCCTACCTAGCACAAGAGAAAGGCATAGCAGTTGCCATATGGAGATAAGTCCCCAGCTACTACAGCTGTTTTGCTAAAATCACTTTCAGATTCAACAATTGGCAGCTCCAGTGACATTGCAGAAACATGATAAGCTTCTTACTCACATTACCTGCACCTCTCAGATCTATTGAGGGTGATAAATATCTTCAGGCTGACCGAGTCCTCTGCTTGGCTGGTGCAAAAGGGTAAGGATTTCTCCCAGCTTCTCGCTTATCTCCAGGAATGGCTCTGCATGATGAGCAAGGGTGGGATATTTCTTTGCTCTGTAAATCACTGTGGCTAGCAGCTGTTTCCCTGGCCTGAACAACTCTGGAGACAGAAATTCCTTAACTTCATCCTGAGCCTAGCTGGGAGGCAGGCGAAGGCAGAGAATTAGAACTTTCTGAAATCAGTATTGAATATCCACATTTTGCACTTCTGATGTTGTCCTGAAAAACACAAGGAGCTACTCCATCTCTACCTGAGCAGTTTTAAGAAGTACTTATATATTTTTTAAAAACACTGAAGGCACCCTTAGTTGTCCCACCACAGCAACCAGAGAAGCTGCAGAGAAGTGTCAGATAATGATGATTAATCTGATGACATAATCAGTTGTAAAAACAAGGATGAGGTTGTATGCATTTATCAGTGTAATTTACCCTCCAGCAGCAGCATTTGTGCTGAGGACTGTAAGACATGGAAGAACCAGAACAACAACAACAAAAAAGCACTCTTCGATTCTGCAACTGCTGGTGCTTTAGCATAGGACACAGCCTAGCTGTTTGCCTCGGAGGGTGATTTCTAACATGGAGCAAAACTGCAGCATGTGTTAGATGTGCAGTCACTAGCAAAAGGCTCCACTGTTAAAGAAGCTACATTTTATCATGTTGAATATCTGAGGGGTGGGAGGGATGTGTTTGGGTTGGTTTGGGTTGGTTTTGTGGGGTTTTTCTGGTTTGTTTTTTTTTGTTGTTTTTTTAATTTAAATCCAAAGTTCTGGCAACAATCACTTCCAAAAAAGTAAATATTAAATATTAAAAATATAACGTTTGACAGAGTTTAAAAAAATGAGTCTGGATAAAGATTGTGATAAGAATTCCCTCCCCACCTCCCAAAATATCTACTTCTAAAGCCAAGGGCCAACAGCCCTTTTGAGGAAATTGTGCTGTAATATGGATTTTTTTTAAAAAAAAAATATGGTCCGGAAAGGGAAAACCACAAGATGGTGCTCTTGAAACACTGCATGAAGCTGGATTCATTGAGTTCCTCCTTGCTACGTTCATGAAGAGTGCATTTCCTCCACCTCCACTGATCGTATCTGTCCATCTAGTTACTGTGGTCACGGGTAATAGCATTAAATCTGCGATTAAAAGAACAAAACCCTAACCTTGCATACAATTATTGATTTTAACATTTGTTTCAAATATATTTGTGGAGGATGTGTACATATTTGCTAAACTTAAAAAAATACAGAAGCCTTCTGTAAAAACTTAATCCTGCTGCTAAATGAACATGCAACTTGTAAAATATCTAAAAGACATAGCATGAATATGTAAGGCAGTTTTTCATACAGTGCCTACAGGACAAGCTGCTGTCTTGATCTGAAAAGCTTGAGCTTGTGTGAAACACTACTACCTGAATTCAAGGATGGACCAGGCAATTACTATGCTACATGCTTGATTTTGGAATGCGCATGCCAAGATGATAGAAAAGATTCCTCTCTAATACATCTAAACTTTGGAGTAGAGGGATGAGGAGTTACAGAGATGGGGAACTGCTGGAATGTGTCCTTAGCTAAGAATGAACAAATTGTCACATCAGGTCCACTCAATTTCAATGTTACCTTTTTGGAGTGGTTTCTCCTCTGAAGGAGTCCATAGGAACACAAAGAGAGAGGGAAAAACATAGTGCTGGTGTTCCTAGCACAAAATAAAAGCAGCAAGGGCCTATGTGAACCTGCTGGCACATGCAGAAATAGTTGCAAGGTTCAAATGAAGGAATAGGACATTCTTGTAATGGCCGTTGAGCTGGTTCAGCATCTGAGGCTTTGTCCCTTAAGGTGTAGTATTGCTCTGCTCTTTGCATTCGGAACTGCCATCATGGTACCTCAAACTAGCCAAAGGCTTGGGAGGTATTTTGAGAAATTAAGATGCAAAAAATTGCATTCCTTATGTTTGCCGATTGCTCTATAGGTTTCAGTTTGGTGCTGGGGGGATACAATGAGCCCTCCACAGCCCTCAGTCAGCTGCAGTGTTAGGTGCATAGCCCCACGGATGACCCTGAGGATGTCCCATCTGAGCAGAAGCATAGCTGGGGAGAAAGAGGGAATTCTGCCCCTCCTCTGCC